ATTATTATTATTATTATTATTATTATTATTATTATTATTATTATTATCATCGTCGACTCGCTACGATGCGATATGTGTATAATGTATCGTTAAAGTCCCGAGATTCTAATTCTAAATTCAACAGTACAATCCGTTGATTAGTTTTACTTCCGCTAACGCTATTCGTCAAACGACCGAATTCGTGTTTAATCAAAATACACGGTCGATGATTTTGTTTACATTTCGCACTCGTAAATCGTATTGAACATATCACACCGTATCACACTTGTCGGACGGTTATCGTCCGAAAAACCGACCAACAGTGTACGTTAACACTCGTAATGTACAATTCATGGTTTAATACGTAGATGATTTCTGTAACACGCGCCGTATTATTCCTTGCGTTTGCTGCCGTGGCGCTTTTGTTGAATGCAAGTGTATTTCGGTGCGCGCAAACCCCGATCGAAGCCGTTTTGAAAACCGAGCACTCTAATGTTATCGAAGTATTTGCATTCGATACATACCGTTCGGCGACACGTTTACGAAACAATCGCGTCAACCCGCAGCGTTCTTTCGAAAACCGGCCACAGAATTATTTCTATGAAAACGGTGGACTATTATTACCGAACGATCGATACACGTTATTATTATTATTATTATTATTATTAATACGTAATTTGTATAACGCGCGGTATAGTGTAATAATTATACCGGTTCCGTTGAAACGGAAGCGAAACGTTCTATGGAAATCGTTCAGCGAACGATTGCGTTCAATAAAAGTACATTAAACACTGTACCGAGATCTGAGTTTCGTCCGGCTTATGGTTGCGCGCGTACAACTTTAATGCAGTCACGGTGCTAATAATTCTCTCAAATAATGAGTTTATTGTTGTTGAAAGTCCCGTTACACTACGAATGGAATAACGCGGTGACGATTGCGGCGAGTGCGTACGAAACCGAAGAAAATATATAATTACACAGAATGTTTATCGGTCTCTCCGGGATTATTGTTGTTTTATGATAATGCGCACACGAATATACGATCGTGTGGAAATATTGATCATGGTGACCGTTTTTTTTTTTTTTTAACTTTTTTTCCCACCGTTTATTTTTTATTTTTTTCTCTTAATAGCTATCATTAAAACATAACCGATAAAACTAACACGGTCGACGTTCTTATAAGAAATACCATATCGGTGTAATAACGCATAATCGTTGGACTTGAAACTCGAATCGAACGCACGTTGCATGTGGTATAGTGTGTTCAAATATACGAAACGCGATCCAGTGTCTGAATTTCGGACGGTACAATAATGTTCCAAGCCGCACACGCTTTAGAACACATGTCGTTCGGAATTAACTGCGTATCAAACTTTCAACCGGATTTAATAAGCATAAGCATAAATTATTATACACAAAACGTCTTCTGAACCGTTTCAAACCGTAAATTTACATGCGTGCGAGAGCCGTACACTATTGTAGACCATAAGATGACCAACACCTTATTCCAACGATAAAATACTGTGAAAAAAAAAAAACATTCACGTACTTTTTTTTCATATACAATTAAGCCATTACGATGTTTGCATTAAAAAAATAAAAAAAAAAAAATGATAATCATAATTATAACGCGTTGAGAGCAGAGTAAAAAAAAAAACCGCTATTGATAATAATTATTATGAGTAGTGAGGAAGACGCACACGCCACGATAACAATAAAATATTTAAAAAAAAAAAAAAAAAAACACCACCATATAATCATTGCACTAAATGTTTAAACACACGACGCGTACGCGATGAAAAGTAAAAAATAATTAATAAGCATTATTGTTATGGTCTGTTGTAATATATATTACTGCTGCAGCTGCGCTAATCTTAGAATTAAATCGTCCAGCACGTCCAGGTTATCGATGATAATAATAGCAAATTATAATAATAATAATGCCGACCGTTTGGCAGGGTAGAAAACAATCCAACGGTTCGTGCTCAAACGTTCGGATACAGTACCTATAAGTACATTGCGCGTGTCATAATATTTTCTATCGAAAAAAAGATTTATTTATTTTTCGTCGGCCGCGGCGGGGCAATCCAAGTAATGTTATGTAAATCACGTGGTGCGTCTTTTTGATGCGCGATCTTCAAACACCCGCAGCGGTGTATAAATCATCTGACGCGCCCAGAGTTTCGGGTCGTCCGATTGTTTTTATCCGTTGCATCGTGTCCCTCCAGTCCTACTACCAAACGAGTCCGTTCGCTTTTTATTATTTATTTTTTTTTTTTTATCTTCTCCGAGCAACAAACCGATCGATATCGATCCCATTACTTGTACGAAACGTTCGAACACAATACACGGACGACTCGACGCAACGAAGAAACACACATTGCCGTATAGACTGTTGCGCGGCGCTTGGTCCAATTGAAACGTATTTTCACCACCGAAACAGCAGTTCCGTACCGATAGTCAGTGCCGAAGCCAACGATCGAAATTCTACGACCGTATTCGAAAACGATGTCTGTTTGGTAGGGTGTGGTGGAACGTTCAAGTACGCGCCCTGTATACGCGCGCCTGGCATCGTTATATTTATACAGCGTTCGAATAACGTATCGAACGATAAAAAAAACGCCTACTGCGTGTACAAATATCAGTCACGGGTTGTGCAGGCATTTTCAAAAAACCGATTCGTCAACGTTTTCACGTCAATCGACTTTTTCACTTTTTGAATTTTTCATTTTAATATTTCAAAACAATACAATATTATAATACGGTCGTGTATTGAAAACGTAAGCAAAACTTTGAGACGAAAAAGGAAGAAAAAAAATGTAGAAAGTGTAAAAAAGGCCAGGTGTACCTATTCCTTGACAGGACTCAGAAATTTTTGAGCGACGTCCAGACTGAGATAATTTGTTGATAATATTTATAACAAGTGAATAACGTTTTGTTATACTACATGTTTCCAACATTATTTTATTTTATTCTATTTTATTTTTTATATTTTTTATCACTGTTATTGAAATTAAATATACATACGCATAGTTGGCATAATTTTATATTTGTTATCCATCGAAGACGGATAACAAACAACTTGTTAGAGGCATAAATATGCTGTCAACAAATTCGATAACATTTTTATACTCTTGTCAGAAACGTATACATTATATATATTTACGTTAGTAGCAATGTTGTCTCGTTTTGGACGCCACTTTAATGGCTGTCAGGCATGGATCTAGAGATGAAAAAAAAAAAAGGAGGCTGGACGAAAAAAATTGACTTCAAGTAAACAAAATCATAGGCGTTAAGTTTTTTTAAAGTGAATAAAATAAGTAGACAAACAAATTATAAAATAATAATAAAAAACTTTAATATAAAAATTACTTTTATCGCATAAATTATGCAACATAAGCAAGAGTGTAATATATTTCGTAGTTGAAAAAAAT